CTCCTCACCTAACTCTTAAATCATTTACTCCATATCCTTAGAATGTGACTTCTGGTTCTGGATTGCCTCAACATTGTGAACATCCTTCTTGCATTTACCCTGCCTGGTCCTGTTAGAAATTTATAGGTTTCTGTGAGATCCCTCCTCATTCTTCTAAACTCCAGTGAATACAATCCTAACCAAAGTAATCTCTCAGTATACATCAGCCCCATCATCCCAGGAATCAGTCTGGTAAACTTTAGCTGCACTTCCTCTATAACAAGATTATCCTTCCTCAGATAAGGAGGCCAAACTGCACAAAATACTGCAGGTGTGGTCTCACTAAGGTTTTATAATTGTAGCAATACATTCTTGCTCCTGTACTCAAATCCTCTCACTGCAAAGGTCAACATACCACTTACTTTCTTGACCATCTGCTGCACCTGCATTCTTAAAACATGGATAAAACAATTGATAATCATAGATTAAACGATGTGGAAACATAAGCTGTAAAAGCCCCTGGGTAATTGAAAATAAGGTCAGTGGCTTGAACATTTTAATTTATTTGCAGGGAATTTGTTCCTGTGCATGATTGTAAGTGACTTCTAGCAAACACCAATGAGCTGTCTTGAGAACTTGGTTGATTATCTTGAATTGGAAGTATATCCATAAAGACACTCAGGGTTGTTCAGCAGTGCTGTCCCATAATACCTAACAGAAGGTATTTGTTTTGGGTTTTGTGAGCTTGGAATGTACTCTGCTTATCAGGGAACATGCTGTTTGATTCAATCAGTCAGTCATTGGGAGTTAATGTCCACGTGCCTAGCATCATATTTGCACTGAAATTTATACATGAGCTTACTTCATTGTGAAATAGGTACATTTTGGACTGAGGCCAGCATCCTGGGAGTGGGAAATACCAATGTGAAGCCATTGTATAGTAGCAGCATGAAATGTCTTATTTAACTTGTTCAAACATATTAAATTTTTTATCTTTCCAGGGCAATTTGAAGTAGACCAGGAGTGTGATATACAGTAAAGAATACAAGTCTAAAAGGGTTGTAAGAACACTGGGTGTTTATCTGTAGAAATTATGTTTGTAGCTTAATAAAGTAACTAATAAGACATACAGGACATGAGCTTTATTAATAATGATGTAGAGTTCAAGAACAAAAAATAGTGGTGAAGCATTAAATAACATTGGTACAGTCACAACTTGAGTATTGTGTCCAATTCTGAGCACGACTCCTTAGGGAGAACGTGAAGACAATAGAAAGCGTGCATAAAAGCAACACAAGAATGGGTCTGAGGATGAGAGACTTTAGTTACCTAGGTATGGTGGATGAGCTGGGACTGTTCTCAGCAGCATGATGACTAGGGACCTGGGTTCAATTCCACCCTGAGGTGACTGTGTATGTGGAGTTTGCATTTCTCCCCATGTCTCTGTGGGTTTGCTTTGGTTTCCTTGCACAGTCCAAAGATGTGCAGGTTAGGTGGATTAGCCATGCTAAATCATCCACAGCATCCAGGGATGTACAGGCTAGGTCGATTAGCCAGGGGAAATGCAGGGCTATAGGAATAGGGTAGGGGTGTGGGTCTGGGTGGCATACTCTTCAAAGGGTCACTGTGGACTTGATGGGCCGAATGACCTGATTCCACACAATTGGGATTCTATGATTCTCCTTACAGAAGAAAATATTGAAAGGAGATTTGGTACAGATAAGCAAATTCAGGTCAGAGTAGGTATGAAGACATTGTTTTGATTAGAGTAATAATTGAGAAAGCACTGACTTAAGTGTGCAATTTGGCGTTCTTATCTGAGCAAAGAAAATCTTGTTATAGACGAAGTGCAGCTAAGGTTTACCAGACTGATTCCTAACAAAAGGTGACACAAGGGTAATTTTTTTTCAATGCAGCCAGTGCTTTGGGTCTGGAGAGCTCTGCCTGAAAGGTGCTGGTGCAGATTCCAGGGTTGTTGTCAAAAATTGCATAATTATCTGCAGAACAAAAAAGATTTCAGACTACAAGAGAAAGGGTAATAAAGGTATAAGGATTAGGTGAGCTAATGTTTGGAGAGGGCAGGGACAGGGCCTGTGAATGGCCTCCTTCTGTGCTGTAACCATTCTGAGATTACTATGTTCTGGCAAGGTAGGTTAAGAAAATGACTAAGAAGACAATAATATAAAACAAAGAATTGCTGGTGCTGGAAATTTGAAACGAAAACAGAAAATGGTGGAGAAACTCAGCAGGTCTGGCAGCATCTGTGGAGTGAGAAAAACAGAGTTAACGTGGAACATTGGAACGGAGGGTCCCGGACTCGAATCTTTACCTCTGTTTCTCTCTCCACAGATGCTGCCAGACCTGCTGAATTTCTTCACCAGTTTCTGCGATTGATAAGATATGGGACATGGACTTTTTCAATAGAGGCATCGAGTTCAAAATCCCAAAGTCATAGTGAACCTTTAAATGACATTGGTCCAGCCATTCTGTGATTCCAGTGTTCCAAATTATCCCCATCAATGATTAAGAAAGTGAAGTCGACACGTCTTTCGTGGAGTTCACTGGAAAGTGCATTGGAGAGAGATGCAGGACGGCAGTTTGGCAACAACTTGGTAATCATTACTGGGCAAAATGAAAAATGTTCGGCATAAAACTATGTATTGGAAATAATAAACAGGAAAAGCATATTGAGAAAAGGCATATCAGCCACGTGCTGTAAAACTCTGGAGCTTCAATGATACGGAGATTATATTTTATGCTGAAATGATTGCCTGTACAAACTAAACTGTAAATGTGATTCCTAAAGAGTGGCTGCCCGGGTAGATTTAATTTTCAGAAACCAACCCACTGGAATTGTGAGTGATTCACAGACCAACTCGTCGGAAAGGAATGGGGTCGTTTTTGTTCGGCTTTAAAAGAAAAAGATTCAAAACGTACCGAAAGTCATCCGACAGTTCCAGTCGGGCAGAGTTCAAGTAAAGCTGTGGGAGATCTTCCAAGGTATGTTCACCAAACTGGTTTAAACTACTGTCATCTTTAACTACGTGAGGAGACCACTCCTCAAAGGTACTCTGTTTTTGTTTTGAGAGAACATAACTGGCCGTGCAGCAACATGCCGCGAAATTCGTTAGGGTGCATAATTCATTCAGAATATAATTTCCTTCTGCACAAAAGCTTTTCATGAGAAGTTGTTGTCTCTTTGTAAATACGTTCCTAAAAACCAAGAAGGGGAAGCAGCCTCGGCATCAGTGGAAACGAAGTAAATCCAGTTAGCTCAGGGAGAATTGGCTGGGGCTATACATTTCAGGACCTTGGACAGCTCTCTGCCGTTGCTTTGCTCTGCAAACCAGTCTCACTTCATTCCGCAACCCAAACCCGCACAACCCCGCCAGAGCCTGGATTCTGAGGACAGGAAATCTCCAAGCCCACCCGGGCCTAATAGCCCCGAGCAAACTCCAATTCCGTTACAACTCTATTTCCTCTCAAAATCCAGTTTCAATAGCACGAACTCCCTATAATATTCCTCAAAATGAACCCCAAAGGTTTTGAAATGGACGACAATCTGGTCAGAAACAAAAACAGAAGTTGCTGGAAAAGCTCAACAGGTCTGGCAGCATCTGTGGAGAGAAACGTTTCGAATAGGGTGACCCTTCTTCAGAACTGGATAATCTGGGCAGCACGCATCATTCTCACCCTTCACTCTGCTTGCTGTTCTGATGATAGTCACGACTAGCACCTTAACCTGTTTCCACTTGCGGTTGGGCTAATCCTAGACAGGAGCCCGCTACAGCCGCCCCAGTGACTCCAGGTTGGGGGTGGGTGGGTGCTGGTTCTCTACATAAAGCCTTGGGTTTCACGTTTACCGATTGCTAGGGAGCGGAGCCCCCCACCCCGCGGTTTGTGTGTGTGTGTGTGTGTTTGTGTGCGCGGTCTATGGCCTCCTCCCCCTCACTTTTCATTCATAAATGTGCCGGCACCATGCTCCAATGTTCTGCGTCATTAACCAGGCTACAGACGTGATATCTAAAGCTGAGAAGCAAGTATAAAAGTACAGGAATCAGTCTGTAACCCCCAAACAACTTCTTACCGGCTTGCAATCTCATCTGCAGGGAGCGAGGCTGCAGCACTGACCAGAACTTATCCGCTGTCGTTAAGAAGTTACACGGTATGTATTCCTTATCCACTCTCTATCCTTCTTGCAGCGACTAACCATTTGTTCCTTAAAAACAAAATGTAATCTGAAGTTGACTCTTATACTGCCTTGAGGTGGGATGATTATTGGAATCGATTAAGGTTTTCCTTTAAAAAGAAAATGATGCGAGGAAAATCTCGAGAGAATTTTTGGCATTTTCTATTCGGAACACAGCGTGTCTCTAATATTTTCTGTGTGTAGATTTTGCTCTCAATAAACTCGATTCCTGTTGTGTCAACAAGACTGAGGCTGCCCTGTGTAATTTATTGCCCTTTACACTGGATTACAGAGGCAACTGGCTTTTGAAAAGGAAAATAAAACAAAGAAAACGTTTACAAACCGGTTCAGATAATGAATTTGTAAAAGGAAGTTTTTTTTAGATGTAAAGACTTGGCCATGCAGGATGCGTGTGTGTGTCATTTCTTGTTCATTTTATGCTTACATTTCCGTATTTATCACGCGGAAATGAGTCGCCACTTCACTCTGTTTAATTTGGTGTCAATGATATCAGCTCCTGAAATGATGGCCAAAGTCAAATAGGAAAGTGAGAAGTCAAACATTGCTCGTTTTGAGAAACGTTTTCACGCCGAGTGCTGATAGTGCTTTGATCTCAGAGTGAAGTGATCCCCTCAACCATCCGTTACCCACTACCTCAAAGGAAGGCAAACGAAATATTCTCCAACTCTGCCCAGGGGTTGCATAAATGCGACAGGAGCTGAGGATTTGGTGCAGTTTTAGGATTTAGTTGCAGTTTTAGGATTTGGTGCAGCTTTAGGATTTGGTTGCAGTTTTAATCTGCTTCTGTCTTGCAGATTCCCAGCTGATTATCATGAAGACCCAGTTGTTGTTCTGCACAGTTATCCTGCTCGTTCCCTTCTTCCGCAGTGGGGACTGCCGAGCCCTGGACAGCTCCACACCAACCAGAAACCGCCCGGATCCCCAGGCACCACTCCAACAGTCCCTTGGCCCATTCTGGATCCGCAATGGGGAGGAATACCTCATGCTTCCGCGGAAAGATTCCAAGGATAGCAGCGGGGTCTCTCCTACCCGGTGGCAGATGGTCCTTTCTGAGGCGCCTTTCTCGGCGCAGCTTCAACACATTCTGCGGGAGCCAGTCGGAGACTTGGAGCAAGTTAGCAGCAGGTACCAGGCTGAAAGGGATGAGATGCTAGACAGAGGGAAGAGGCTAGACGACCCTCCCACTTCTCTGGATCTAACATTCCACCTTCTCCGGGAAGTGCTGGAGATGGCCAGAGCTGAACAAATGGAGCAACAGGCGCACAGCAACCGCAAAATAATGGAGCTCATCGGCTAAGAGGGAGACGACCCCACCAAGAGCATCAATCCTAGCGCTGCTCTGACACTAGTGTTTATTTTTATAGCGCTAAACTGTTTAAGTGTGCATTTCAACCAACCTTACTACTGTAGCTGACAGTTCATTGTAGAATTGTAGTTAATAAACACATCGGTGTCCAATCATTTTTCCTTGTGTAAGAGAATGTCTAATATTTATATTTTTAATAAAAGCTGCTTTATGCTTTATTGTGGAGCCAATGTCCTGTTCAACCAATGTCCTGTTCAATTCAGCTTCACATAACAGAGGGAACTGATCGCAGAGACACCAGGCGCGGAAACCCTGAATAAAGATTACGTGATGCTGAAGTGATCCGTTTGATACATTTTTGCGCCGAATCAACGGCCGTAGCCACAAGAAAGCATTCATTCAGTTCATTCATCCTGAAACCCCCACGCAGCCCTGGGAAGGCTGTCCAGCCAATCGCACGCCCCACGTTTTGTCAGAAGGCGACCCCCATCTCCCCCCAACCCCACCGACCTCCTTTCCCCATCCCCCAGCCCACTGCCCAACATCTGCCGCTCACTAGCACCAGGGCTCCGGTTAAAGATGACGATTGAAAGAGTTAACATTTGCCGAGTTCGAGGTGAAATGATTGGAGACTGCCCCATCACAAAGTCTGGGCAGGTATTTCCAATCAGAATTAAACAATCCCTCAGCCACCCAAAGCGCAAAGAGCCCAAAACAATTATCCAACTTGAGTAGGAGACCAGACGTCAGCTTTGTAATTAGTTCTCGCTGTTCTTTTGGAAGGGTTCAGCTGCTTGCTTGGATGTGGTGTTTTCTCTCTCTCTCTCCCTCCCTCTCTATTTGGCCAGGGAGTTTAACCAGGAGAAGGAGAACACGTGGCGAGCCCCCTCTCCTGCCTTAGCCCCACCGCCGCTTGCATCTTCGCTTTGGGCTGCAGCGCAGTTTTCAGAACCAATCTGGAAGAGGGAGACACAAAGATGTTCTTACTTTAATGGCCATGAAAAGGTCTCCTGGAATCTTGCAGTTTGATCTCCCCTTCAACCCAACCACCACCACCAACCGCCCACCCCGCCCCCATCCCCAATCCACACCATCCCCTGTGCTCTGGGATCTGACCGGGCAATGCAGTAACCCTCAGAGCCAGAGCCACCGGAGGATGCAGGATCCGGGATCCGGGCTAAAGGATGCTTTTGGCCGCGTTTCACTCGCTTCTGCTCTGGAGCTAAAACAGCGCTGGCTCATTTCTACCAGAGCTACTGTGCATTTGTAACAACGTTAACATTAAAACAAAAGGGCGGCGGATGCTGGAAATCTGAAACAAAAACAGAAATTGCTGGAGAAACGCAGCAGGTCTGGAGAGAAAAACAAAATTAATGCTTAGAGTCCAGTGACCCTTTTCTCAGAAAGTCGTATCAGACCCGAAACGTTAACTCTCTCCCTTCTCTTTACAGATGCTGCCGAGTTTCTCTTGCATTTTCTGTTTGTATCCAACATGTCCATGTCTGTCATAAAGTGGACAATTACAAAATCCCCTCCTGTGGAAAACAGACATTTGGTAGAGACTTGAACGTGCATTTCAATAATCCGTCAAGTCAATTCCCTGCTTTGATTTTCCTCGAAATCCAGATTTAAGACATGACGTGCCAGGCAGCAGCAGAGGAACAGTAAAGTTGGCGTTTCGGCTCAGGACCCTTCAGAAATGATTTCTGAAGAAGGGTCCCGAGCCGAAACGCCAACTTTCCTGCTCCTCTGATGCTGCCCGGCCTGCTGCGTTCCTCCAGCTCCACACTGATCTCTGACTCCAGCATCTGCAGTCTTGCTAACACTTAAGACATAACGTTCTTCGATTCCTACTTCAATTTCTACAGCTGTTCACACCTTCCCAATACAGAAAGGGTCTCGTCCTAATCTGCAGGAACGTCACACGAAATAAAGTTATATTTTCAAAGCGTCGAGGTGCATTTTCCTCCCTGAGTGAGCGAACAGGCTTCAGCTAAATAAAACAACAAGGTGGGTGATAACCTTGAAGACTGGAATTCTAGAGACTAGCTTCAACCATCACCGGATTACAATGTTATTTGTTAGGGTGATTAGCTCCCCACAGAACTAAGAAATAGTACAGAACAGAAACTGGCTATTTGGCTCACAATGGCTGCTTTGTCTCTTTTCAGTCAATCCCATTCCTCGGTTTATCTCATGCCATACACTTTAAATCCCCCTTTCAGGACTATTATTTACTTAGCTAGTGCAATCCAAATCCTAATCACCCATTGGGACAAACCAAATGCCTCAAACCTGTGCGCTTGGCTTAGTCACTGAAACGATTCATTGTCTTCTCTGATCCTTCCTGAAGCCTTCATCATTCCAAGAACTTCCATCGAATTTCTTCTTAGTTTTTCCTTGACTCGGGAGACATGCCCAGTTTCTCCAGTCATCCCAGAATTATGCCAATGATTTTACTCTGCACTAAACCTTCACAAAGTCGTCACATCCTTTCCACAATGTAGCATCCGAATTGAATGCAGTACACCAGCTGGGACTGAGCTGGTTCACATAAGATAGCAATATAGGAACAGGAGCAGGCCATTCAGCCCCTTGAGCCTGTTCCACCATTATGTGGTTTAACCCCATATACCTGTTTTCGATCATATCCCTTAATACCCTTGTTTAACAAAAGATATCTATCTCAGATTTGAAATTATCAACTGATTCTGCATCAAGTGCAGTTCCAAACCTCTACCACCCTATGTGTAGAAATGCTTCCTAACATCTCTTCTAAACGGTCTGTCCCTAATTCTCAGACTATGCCCCTAGTTCTAGAATCCTTAATCAATGGAAATAGTTTATCCACATTCCTGCCTTCTGTGCTCAATGAGGTTGAATTTAATTGCAACTAAAAATAAGCAAGAACAAGGATCTGGAGGCTGTTAATTACATTGCAGGGACTGCACATCATGCAGCCCTGCCCAGCTCATACTGGTTAACATTCGAATCATTCCATTTAATGTCCAGCTTGGGCGAACAATGCTATTGACTCATCAGCAGGGAATCAACATGGTGACTAGTCAGTAGCAATGAAAGGTAACATGTATGTCCGAGAGGGGAGGTGCGTAATGGCTAAAGTGGATCTGACAGTCAGGCAGAAAGTAAAGCTAGTTAGAGACAAAACAAAACTGCAGATGCTGGAATCCAAGGTTAAACAAACAGGAGGCTGGAAGAACACAGCAGGCCAGGCAGCATCTAGACAAAAGGAGAAGTCAATGTTTCGGATATTACCCTTCTTCAGGACTGCATCCTCCAGATGCTGCCTGGCCTGCTGTGTTCTTCCAGCCTTCAGGAAGTAAAGCTGCCCTAGGAAGGGAGTGAAAAAAAATTGTTAGAGAAACTCAGCGGGTCTGGCAGCTTCTGTGGAGAGAGAATGCTGAGGAAGTGTCACTGGAATTGAAACATTTACTCTGTTTCTCTCTCCACAGATACTGCCAGACCTGCCTAGGTTCTCCAGCAATTTTGGTTTTTGTTTCAGATTTGCAGCATCTGCAGTTCTTTAGTGTATTCTGGGAAGGGAGTGATTCCCTGTAAAAGTGCACACTGGTTGTGACAGACCAGAGAAGGATTTGAAATTGCCACACGAGGGATAAGAGTCCCATGGGGCTGGAGAGCTGGGGGTGGTGGGGTGGTGGGGTTGGGTGAGTGAGAAGCAGACATTTTGCTTCACCAAGCTCATCTCTCTGCCTGTCCCTCCCCAGTCACAGTGCCGCTCAGGGAGGGGTCCTTCCCAGGGCTGGGGTCTAATCTGGTGGGTGGGGCAGTTGCTGCTCCCCTTTCTCTCCCTCACTCCCGCTCCTTCTCCCCACCAGCAGCTTCACCCTTGCCCAAATCTACCTCCAGTGTGCCCAGACCTGGCCAGTAACAACAGCTAGGTGCAACACTCTCCGCTTGTGTTGACACATATTCAGTGCTTTACCTACTCATGGCTTTCATTATGTACACAGCTGCCTGGAAAACATTGAAGAATGGCACAACAGGAAAGAAAGCGAGCTCCAAAATTGTTGGATGCTGCACTGGGGGCCTGCTTATGGATGGCAGAAAGGTGCCTGGATTTCCTATATTCTCCAAGTGAACAGAACAACCACCAGCCACATACTGAGAAGGCAGTGGGAGTTAATAATTGTGGAGGGTAATTTCTTGGGGACAAGTCCAAAGTCAAATATGCAGCACTGCGAGTTTCAATAAGCTTGAGTGTGGCCAGGATAATTGAATTCATCCTCAAATGTCATACCCCACCCAGTGCTACACTCCCATCACTCATCTACCAACATTCCTTGTCAATCAGGACACAAAGCTGAGATTCATACTTTCTACTGCACCTTCAGCTTGTCAAGTCCGACAACAACAGCTCCCAGCTTGTACACACAGCCAGTTATTCAGCCATGACATCAGACAGATTGTACCAACTGACACTCTCATGCCTTCCTCGGGCAAGTTGAGGTTGTGTACAACTAGAGGAATCAAGGTGCACCAGCATGTTCTAAGCAGTTGCTTATGTGGAAGTCCTGAAGTTAACGAAACCTCCTTCACCACCAGGCACACTGCTGTGTAGACATTGCAAATCTAAACAACTATAGACAGCAACAAACGCTTGGCCAATCAAAGCAGCTGCAAGAAAAAAAAAGGAAGGACCAGCAACTATTCTGTAAGTAGTTGATGAATGGAACATTATCAGATGGAAAGGATTAACATAAATTAGTGTTGGTCACTTGGAATGGAGAAGGGATTGCAGATGATGTACTCCAGGGCTCCGCATTGGAGTCATCTCTGTTCTTGCTTAATATAGATTATTTGGATTTGAGCACAGTAAACACAATGTGAAAACCTGCTGAATACCCGAAAAGTTGGCACACATTACGGATGATGTTGAGATGTTAGTGGAAAGGGCAGCAGGCAGCAGCTGTAATTTAATATGGCCAAGTCAGAGGTGATATATTTGAGAAGAAAAGCACAGGAAAGGGAGCAGATCTTTAGCGAATAAATAATCAAGGACATGGAAGTGACATAAAGTCATATCATAGATTAAGAAGAATGTTGCTAAAGATAGGTAAATAAAAAGTTAGGATCAAAACGTGGCTTTTGATAAAGCATCGCACATTAGGCTACTTAAGAGCCCATGGTGTTGGGGTAGAACATGGATAGAGGACTGGCTAACTCACAGAAGATAGAGAATTGGGGAAAGAGGGTATGACCAGATTGGCGGCCCATCACTAGCAGAGTGCTCCAGGCAGTGCTGGGACCACAATGCTTTTTATAATATATATAAACAATTTGGACGATGGAAATAAATATATTATCACCAGGTTTGCAAATGACACAAAATAGGTGGAAAGCTAAGTGTGAGAATGACACTAAGAGTCTACAGAGGAAGAAAGACAGGTTAAGTAAATCGGAAAAATCTTGGCAGATGGAATATAATGTGGGAAAATGTGAGTTTACGCACTTTGTCAGGAAGAATAGGAGAATTAAATATCATTTAAATGGGAAAAGACTGCAGTAATCTGTAGCACAGAGTTTTGGAGGTCCACGTGCATGAATCACCAATAAAGAAAACTAGCATCCATCTTCAGCAGGTAATGGGGAAGGCAAATGGAATGCCAGCTTTTATTTCAAAGGGAATGGATATACAAATAAGGAGGCCTTAAAAAATACTATAAGAGGTACTAGTCACAGTTAATACTGTGAATTATTTTGGCTACTTATCTAAAGAAAGATACTGGCATTGGAGGCAGTCCAGTGAAAGTTCACTAGGTTGGTCTCAGGGAAGCAGGGATTTCCCTATGAGGAGAGGTTAAGTAGATTGGGCCTGTACTCAGTGGAATTTAGAAGAATGAGAGAAGACCTTCTTGAAACATCCAGGGTTCTTAGGGGCCTTGATAAGGTAGATATGAAGTGGTTGCTTCCTCTT